TTCAGAGCTTGTTTATTCACACCTAGAAAAAGGAGTTTTGTTTTTTTCCGCTCAAATATAGAAGAAAAACTCAGTACTTTAAATGTGGCAAAATGGTGGAAAAATTTTAATTTAAATCATCATTCCGAAAAACAATCTTTATTTGAATAAATCCGATTTGATTTATTTAATGTACGAAAAATGTGAAGTTTAATAGCGATAATGATCTGGTTTGTATGGGCCATCGACAGGTACATGAATGTATGCTGACTGTTCTTGTGTCAGTTTGGTCAATTTAACGCCCAATTTTTCCAAGTGCAAACGAGCAACTTCTTCGTCCAATTTCTTTGGCAGCATATGAACACCGATTGGGTATTCGTTTGGTTTTTTGGTCCATAGTTCGATTTGAGCGAGAACTTGATTTGTGAATGAGTTTGACATGACGAAACTTGGATGTCCCATAGCACACCCCAAGTTCACCAAACGTCCTTCAGCCAAAACGATAACGTGACGTCCGTTGGCCAAGCTATAACGATCCACTTGTGGTTTGATGTTAATCTTTTCCTTGGCATTCTTCTCCAACCATGCAACTTGCAATTCACAGTCAAAGTGACCAATGTTGCAAACAATCGAATCGTCTTTCATGCTTTCGAAGTGTTTGCCGGTGATGATGTCCTTGCATCCGGTGGTTGTGACGAAAATCGATGCCTCTGTGCATGCTTCATCGATGGTTGTCACTTCATAGCCCTCCATTGCTGCTTGAAGTGCATTGATTGGATCAATTTCGGTGACAAGTACACGACCGCCAAATCCACGTAATGCCTGAGCACAACCCTTGCCGACATCACCGTAACCAGCAACGCAGCATACTTTACCTTTGTTTTGGAAGAGAGTAACGCAATTTTAATCAAAATTTTCAAGAAATGGGGACCGTCAAAAAACAGTTTGTTGGGAATGATAAAATTAAAACTAACCAGCAATCATAATATCCGTAGCCCGTTTGATACCATCGATCAACGATTCACGGCATCCATACAAATTGTCGAATTTACTTTTCGTAACTGAG